TGCTGGAGACTAGAAAAACTTCTTTAATCGCCACAATAGCGACAATATGTAAAGAACCATGTGACCACAGCCTATTCCCAAAGCTAAATCAACACCTTGTCAACCCAGAGCAACCATGGAAGAGAAAAACAAATGCCATTTTCTCAGCTTAAACGCCACAGAGACCCCGTACGATGAAACGATATTCCCAACAGATATTATATGTTATAAAAAGTCACAGTGGGAAACTATCAGCAATCATACACCAGTGGACAATCAAGGAAGCCAACTATTTCATGTAGTATTCTTGAAAAATACATTTTACTCCCAGAACCTGAAATAAGACTAAGTTTCTAGACCTTCTTGAAGGACATTCTCCGAGTTGCCTTGAATAGATATCTGGCAGCTTGTGAAACTTGAAGATACATCTAAGATTGTAATTTTTAGGAAATTTTTATGTAGAGTAGGGAAATACCAATGAACATACCTCAATGGTTGAAACTAAAAGCTTTAGAGTACTAAAAAAATGGTAAAAACAACACTTCTTTTATGAAAGTGCCTAAAGGGGCAATCAGTGACTTCAACCAGAAAGCTTCATGTGTGACTCCTCAGTTACCTTTGGGTTACTTGTTTAGAAGAATATTGTCAACATAGTATTGATATAAGTCTAAGTAGGGTTGCAGAGGAGCTGTGGGTGGAGCATATCCCTAAAGATTAGCAATGCTTAAATCCATTGCACTTGGTGATTAAAAACAAGTATTCTTTGTTGTTAAAGAAAACTCTCTTTCTGACACCACAGGACCTGCCCTCGCCCGTGAAAGCACACCACACTAATGCCACCGATCATGAACTTTAAGTTAGGGGCTTCAATAAAAAGAGCTGCCTTTCTCTACTTTACAGAAAACCAACACCAAACACAAAATAACACAACAGAACAGTCAAACCTCAGCGAAGGGTTATCTATTGACTGGTTTAAATATTTAAGTCACATATACTTGACCAAAACCCTTTCAAATTCATCTTAAAGTCTTAATTCACACAACTCCTCTACCTAAGTTCAGAAGAATTTGGCCACAACCCTATTATCATTTATGATGCTAATAAGTATCACTTTGTTACTATATAAAACTCAGAGTCTTTGTCTTTTTACACCATTTGAAAGCACTGGCAACTTAATGAAGACTGAAAACATTTGACATGCTGATAAGATTTAAGAAACACTTGCACCTTAGAAGTGAAAACCTAGGTTCCATCATAGAAACTGTCAACTAAGCAAGCAAAAATGCATCAGACGTACAATGGTAAAAATATTCAAGAGTTAAAACTTGCTATTATGGCATACTTAGTTGGGGCTGTCAATTTGATTGGAGGCCTAATACCAGTAACGTCAAAATGAAGGAAAACAGAAGCAAGTTCTTATTATGCTAACAATTGGCTTGACTATTGCAATCTAAGAAATGCAAATGAATTTCAAAACCCCAGTAGAGGCTCACAGCCCAATACAAGTATGGGTGAAGTAGGGGCTAGCTTGGCTCCCAGGGAGAATTTTGCTTAAAATTTTGCTTAAAGACTTGGTAGAATATCAAGTACAATGAAATGCTCAATTTTCTTACAAAAGTGTTCGTATGTGTATACACAAGTGCACACACAATGACTTATCCATGACCTTAAATATATTGTTACTAGATGTATAACTTGCACAGGTAGGTTATTTCAATCATTTGCACACTGGGGTAGGAGTATGGGAATGTACTTAAGTATTAAAACTTTATAAATTTGCTCATAAAATCAACCTCTGAGAGATTCTGATTAGACTAATTCAAATGTTAACGTAGTCTCATAAATTAGTATATACTGTCAACAATTTGCATCCTTAAGTTTCAAGTGTTTAATATAGCTTATAATATGTTTCCAGAATTTGAAGGTTAAGAATATAAAATGAACTACTCATAATATTCTAGGTACCACCAACCTACACTTGTATTGGAAAAATATGCCTAGGATTTTGCCTAGTTTAAGGGAAAGGGTTAATGCATCCTCTTTCAAATATTGAACCGTGACAACTAAGCCCACTAAATCCTTTTATTGCAATTGGAAATGATTAAAGTCTCTGTACTTGTTTATTTCCAATTATTAACTGTACCTCTTTGGGACTAAAAGATCAGACAATATCGCTGTCAAACCCAAAAGACTGCGTAACTGTATTCAATCACTTTTTGGAGCTCCTTTTGCAAAGCATCTCTTTACCATATGACCTATGCTGACATTTAGCAAAATCTATAAACCATAGAGGACTTAAGTTGAGGTTCTAAGTGCAACCCATTATAGAGGTTGAGAGAAAAATTGTGGTCTCCGAGAGGGAAAAAGAGGAAAAAGCTTGAAAAGAAAGGAAACCTCCTGCAAGACTAACGTCCAGTCACCATCATCATTCCAAAAAAAAAAAGCTCCAAATTTGAAATGGCCACTTCCCAGGGAGCACGTCTCAAGTGAGGTTTGGATAACTTATTCAAGACTAATAACAAATAACACCTTGAAAACTTTACCATTTTAAACACAAACGCAGGAAACCTTGGAACAACTGGGAACCGCCATCTTACAAGCCATCCAATTTCACACAAGTGTCCCTCCAACTTAAGTTAATAACATTTTTATTTGGGCTCGCCCCTGTCTAACATTCACCTTGGCGGGACCGCTGCCCCCCACGTAACCCATCCCTATAAAATGGGGGCGTTCTCTGGTTGTTCAAACCCCTCAAAAGCCCTTTCTTCGGGAGAGGAGGGAAGCCACTTGACCCGAGCAGCTCCCGGTTTCAGGAACCCGTCCCCGTTTCATCAAAATCTACCTCCCAACAAAGGGCGCCGCGGCCGCGGGAGCCGCAGGGGCTGCGAGCAGAAGTGTTCTCCTCGGGGGCCATGTGCGCCGCGGGGGTGCAGAGGGGCGCGGGGGGGGAGAAAGGAACTAAATCGTGGGGCCGCGCGCGGCGCGCCCGGCCGGAGCGGGAGGCGGCTGGAGCGGCGCCGAGCCCGGCTGGCGGCGGCGCGGGCGGCGCGGGCTGCGGGTCGGTCCCGGCGCCGCGGGAGGCGGCGGGCGGCGCGGGCGCGTGCTCGCGGGCGCGGGCGGCGCGCGGGGCCCGGCGGGCGGCGGCGGCGGCGGCGCGGGGCTCGGTGCCCACGCTGTCAGCGCCCTCCGGCCGGCGGGGCGAGGGCGGGGGGGCCGCTCCCAGTCCTCCCGCGGCCGGCCCCGGCCCCGCGCGGCCTCCGCCGGCCCCCGGCCCCGGCCCGGGGCGCTCCTACTCCTACGTACCCGGAAAAGGCAGCCGGCGAGAGGCGATCGAAGCGGGCGGAAAAGACAATGAAAGTTAAAAGTCGTTCAGCAGAAAATGAATGTGAGCCAAGCGGCCATCTTGAAGCGAGCTGCAGACGCCGCTGTCAATGGGCAACGAGCGCAGCCGAGAGGAGCCGCGGCCGCCGCGCTCTGCTCATGCTGCCTCCGGAGCCCGGCCTCCTCCTCTCCTCCTCCTCCTCCTCCACTCCTCCTCCTTCGCCTCCTCCTCCTCCGCCGCCTCCTCCTCCTCCGCCTGGGCCTCCTCCTCCTCCTCAGCCTCCAACGCCTCCTCCTCGGCCTCTTCCTCCTCAGCCGCCGCCGCCGCCGCCTCCCGCTCCGCACTCAGGGGAGGGAGCGCGCGGAGGGGGCGCGATCAGTATTATTCTGCGGGGCCGGGAGGTGTTCCTAATCCGGATCGGGGCTCCCCCTGCACCATCCCCATTGTCTCACCCCGATCTCTGCCTTTAATACCACAATTATTATTTCATAGTTGCTGTGGGGGGAGCGGGCGAGTGGGGGGCGCCGTGAGTGTGCGTGCGGAGCGCGGGGGGAGGGGCGGCGGGCGAGGAGGGGGAGGGGAGATGGAAAAAAATGCACCGCCGAAGGCCGAGTGGAAACTGACACCGGCTCCAAAATGGCTCGGAGTCCGCCCGCCCCCGCCCCCGCCCCCTGGTCACGTGCTCCCTCATTCCTTAAGGGCGGCCAGGGAATTAGTGTCGGTGTAGTCGGGCCGCGGCCGCCCCCTCCCAGCGGAGCGCGCCGCCCGCCCGCCCCTCCCCCTCGCGCCGCTTCGCAGGCATCTCTCCTCCACGTCACTCGCGCCACCCAGCTCCGGGCGCGGGCATCGCTCCCTCCCCGCACGCACTCGGCCCACCCCACGCACCCGCCCCGCTATTCCTTTTTTCTGTCCTCCGTCCGCGGCGCTCCATTCCACAGGCTCCCGCCGCGGAGGGCCCGGTCACCGCCCCCTCCAGGCCTGCCGCCCCCACGGGCTGCGGCCCAGACTCGGGCGCCGCGGCGCGGAACCTGCGCCGAGCTGGGCTCGCGGAAACAACAGCGCGGCCCGTCTTCCCGCGGCCCCGGCCCCTTCCCCTCCCGCCAGCGGCCGAGGCGGGGCGCGCTGGGGCAGCGGCCCTCGGACGGGAGCTCCGCGCGGAGCGGGCCGGCCGGGCTTCGGGCCCGCGGGGGAGAGTCGGGCTGCGGGCAAGTCCCCGGCGCCGGGAGCGGGACGGGCCAGCTCCCGCCCAGGGTGGCTGCACCGGCTACCCAAGTCTCAGGCCGGGAGATCGCATCTTCCCCACCAGGTTTAATTTTAATCCAGAGGAAAGACAGTCGTTAAGAGTTAACGCTAATCCTTCTGTCTTCAGAGTAATAATTGACAAACACATTAAAACAAACGCTCAGTTCTTCTGGAGAGAAAGCATTTATTCAGAATGTAAATACTGTCTACTTCCTTTTTTAAGACTTGAAAAGTGACCAAAATGGATCAATGTACAGTTAATACTAAAAATTCAAACACATCGGCAGAATTTCCCTCAACTTTTTCATACGTGTAAAAGTGTCAAAATTGATGAGTGACATAAATTCAAAAAGAAACTTTTTTCTATTAAAAACAGGACCCAAATGACGGTTCGGCCAATAGGGACTTCCAGGAGTTCTGGTCTTCCAGACGCGGGCGGGTCGCTAACTTCCCCAGGTTAAAATTGGGTTGCTCTTTCCAGGCTTTTCGAAGCATCTTTAAGTTTCCCCACTAAATCCTAAAAGACGTATATAATACTATGTTTTTTTAAGATAAAACATGGGAAGGAGATATCCAAGTTTGAGAAAGAAAGATTCAAGAAAAAAGTCGGGAGACATTTTATAAACAGTTTAAAATTCACAAGGATATTAACCTTTGACAGACCATCAAAGAAAGGTTTTCCTCTAAAATAGTTCATTTTCAAATGGGCTGCTTGCCCTCAGATTTGAAATAATGATTTATAACCGAATCCTCTTAACAAGAAAGGCATATATGAATTAAATTTCTCAAGTTATCTAACAAAGATTATCCTGTATTCACCTTTTTTGAAAATTTAAAGTTGAGTAACTGGTACATTAAAAAAAAAAACTGCAGAAGATGTCTTTTGGAAAATTCAATTTCACCAAAATTTCAAGCAATCATCTTCATTTTTAAGTGGTAAGAAATAAATTCATTGTCATGTTCATTAATCAATATAGTGGTGAATTTTCCCTGCCATACATGGGCAATATAAAATTTTAGAATTTTATGAATAGTTCCCCCTTTATAAAAAGTCTTTTAAAAACACAGTTTAAAAATCCTGTTTTGAAAGTTTAATTCAATTTCTGAAAACAAAGAATACATTTTCAAAGCCATGTATATAATATTGCTTTGTCCTATTGGATCAAAGTCATCACAAATAGAAGGAATTTACACTCAACAATACACTCAAAAGTTTAACTGAAAAGAACAGCCAATATAGATCAATTCTCTATTAGTATCATCTTAATTTCAAAAGTGAAGTCTACGTTAAAATATTGCTCTTAAAGCCCTCTTCCCATTAAATCCTTACCCAGTCTTCATTATCTACTGACAGATTATTTTTCTTTTGAACTTTCCAAAAGCATAATTCTCAAACATCTATAAAAAGATGGACATATTTACAGATCCTAATACTGTACCTGTAATTGTTCCATGTTGCAACTAAAACTAATCTCTGGGTAGGATTGGGAATCAGTGTTCTAGGGAAGAAAAGAAATTCTGTTTAAATCAAGAAAATTGAAATTCCATTACACATTTAATTTTTAGACAGGGCTAATGTATAAATACCTCTACATTTAAGGTCACCAAATAGGCAGGTCTGTACATCTTATGAAGTTGATTGGTCTAAAACAACACAACACATTTCAGTGTTCAACTCTACTTTTTTAAGTTTCCTAACCACCCTTAGAGAACAGTTAAACTTTACCTTTATCTGATATTCCAAACGCCAAGAAACATCAGTTATATGAGGGAGAGATCTGCCTATACTGAAAGATACAATGATAATTTTGTACATAATAACTACAGAAAACTTTCATGATTTTTCTTTACTAAGAATGGTTTCTAGCTTCCACCCCCCACCACCACCACACACAAAATTTTAATCCATTCTGAATTTAAAACATTGTTAAACTTCATTTTCAAGTTTTTAATAGTAAAAGATCATTTTAAAAAGTATATCAATAAACTTCATCTTTTAAAAACATTAGCTTAACTTCAATTGTTTAACTTGCCCTTTGGCCCCTTCTCTTTTGGTCAAAATCCCTGTTTTTTTACCCTACTTTGTTTCACACCAGCATTCTTCATTCATACCTGCAAGTGAAAAGTGGCTCAACTTGACACTTTACACGGTACCTACCTTCCCAGTAGGATTTCTAGGGAATCCTTATTATTCTGGAGGGTGGGGAAAAAAGAAAAGAAAACATCTTTGCAAACAGAATAGGAAAAGACAATAATTGTTCATTTTTAAAAATTGAAGTAAATAACCTGATATTCTGTGCAAAACAGTTCTATTCGCTCTCTATCAAATTTACAGTCTTCTAGATAAGTGCTAAAGGAAAACAGAAATCAAAGTTTAGTTCCTATTTTAAAACTAAAATTGTAATAAATATTTTATTTGATAATGGAATTTAAGCAAATTCTATACCTTAGAGTTGATTTGTCTGCTCTTTGCTTTCCTGCTTCCAGTATGTAAGTTGCAGCTGCTGTGTGACAATGTTTTAAAACCACTGGGTCGATATGTTTCAAGTCTGGGTGATCTAAAATAAATTAATTGCCAGTGATGTCTATAAGTTTTTTTTATGGTCATGTTTCTTAAAGGGATATTTTAATTTGGGTACACCCGCCCCTTTAACAAGATAACAAAAAGAATTCCATTGTAAGGACTGGCGATTGTAAGTAAATGAGATGAGCAACAAGGTCAATGGCAAAACAATAAAGAGCACACATCAATAATTCTGCTATTTCCCATCTCAATCACCTTCTTTTATTTTGCCTTGATATTTTTAGTATTCTTAGGGAAACATTTTCCAAAGAAAAAATAACTATACAGTGGCCATTCTAACACTGGGTGGAGTAAATTCAGAGGAAAATAAGGACATAAATGTTTCACGTGGTGCGAATTTAAGAATAAATACATTCCCTCTAAAGATTGATTAATTATAGTGTAAATGCCTTCATGGACAGTAACACCTCAAGGAAGGCAAGGGCACAAGTTCAAACTATTAAACATAATTTTCAAGTTTTGACAGCCATCCCTTTTTTGAGATTACCCAGGTGGTGGCTACTATTTTCGTTTACACAGCTTCCACTTTCGTATCTTTTGTACGTGTTTAGTTCATGAAACTACAGAAAAACAAACACAAACATTTGAATTGTTGGGATATTTATATTTAAGAAAAGTACCTAGAAGCGAACTGTCTTAAAATATGTCTTCAATCCATGCAGACACGGCACTCCGCAATCACTGACCGCACCACTGAGCCTCGCCCCCGGGTCACTGGTGCGGAACAAACATTGTGCACCGCGTCTTAACGCTCTGGGTGTGCACCCTGTGCAAACACACTGCACTGCCCTGCTGCGGCGGTCAGAGGAGCCTGAGGTATTCCCTAAATTGGAAGGTGTCAACCCTATTTGACCTAGTAATTACTTTGGAAGCAGAGCCTTTAAAACCTTTGCCAGCCGAGCACCAAAAGCTTGAATCGCCTGATGAAATCCAAGTGTCAAACAGCCTTTACCTCGGACCAGGCTGAGAACCGTAGGTGTTTAGGCCACAAACAAGACTGAAACACAGCTTTTCAACAAAACAAAGAGCCAGGGAGTGGGAGTCCGGCTAGGAGCCTGTAGCTGACTATGCGCAGGTGCCAACTGGGGACAGAGTAACGCCAGGGTCCGCTCTGGGTCTGGGCAGAGCCGCCACCCCGCTCTCTGTCCGGAGCGAAGGGCAGAGCCCGCTGACTTCCTCTTCCCGGGGCTTCCCTCTCCCTCCGTCTCCTCTCTCCTCGCAGCGCCCTCTGCCCAGGCCGACCCAGCTCGGAGCCTGGCGGCTTACCCAGCACGGCCTCGTCCGCCTGGGCGTCCAGCAGGCTCTGGAAAGCCGCCCGGAGGAGAAGCGTGAAGGCGTTGGAGTCAAAGGAGCCGGGATCGGCCAGCATCTGGAAGCCTTTCTGCACAGACTCCGAGAGCTCCATTGTGAGCGCGCTGTGACCTTCGACACGCGCACCACGTGACCCGGGCCGCGCGCTCAGCTGCTGCGGCCGCGCGCGCAGGCGGCCCCGGGCGGCGGCGCGGGCTGCGGGCCTCCCGGCGCCGGGCGTCCCCGCGGCCGCCTGGCCTCTGCCCCGGCCGCCCGCCTCCGCCCGCGGCCCCCGCCGCCTCCTCCGCCCGCGCCCCCCGCCGCCGCCTCTGCGCGGTCGCCGGAGCTGCCGAGCCGGAGCGAGAGGGGCGGCCCCGGGTGCTTTGTGGACGCGCCCGGCGCTTTCTCTCCCCTCCCCGCGCTCACCTGGGGCCGTCCCCGGCCACGGCCGCCTCCTCCCCAAAGACCCCCCGGGAGGCGGGGGACCGGGTCGGGGTCCGCCCCGCTTCCTCGAAAAACGGCTTTCCCGCTCTCGCACACCGCGACAGCCTGCGGAAAGCTCCAATTTAAGGCAACTAATTTTTCCCCCTTTAGTTTGGGGCGTTTCTTTTATTCTACAGCTTAACCCCCTAGCACTGCCCTTTTGTGCGACTTTTATGTAATTCCTGTTTCTTTTTCCTTTTCCATTGTCATTTCTGGAGTATGGCAATTGACTCCTTCCTGCGTGGGGTGAGAAAGTGATACATATATAACACAGTGCGCGTGTGTACACAGTGTACTAAAATGATTGTGTAATTCTAAAAGGCATTTGACATAATTATTAAAATGTGTATATTCCGCTGCAAATAAATATCTTTCAAAAGTAGATATACAAATTGTGTGCACCTGTACTCAGTGTATCTATGGATCCATTTTTAATTACTCAAAGAATCTTCATATATTTATCTCAGAAAGTTATCTTTGTAAAATACAACTAGACGTTCCTAGTTGTATTTTCTTAAAAGTAGTTACTATTTTGGGTAACCATAACTAAAGATTCAAATACTGTATAAAGTTTAAATTCCTTATTATATCTATGAAGTTGGAAAACGAGAATGATTCTTTTAAAAACCATACACACACCAAGAAGCAAAGTAGATTATGCATTTTTGATCAAAAGAATTTAAAAGGAAAAGTCAAAATGCCCATTTTTTACCAGTGGATGGGGAGGGATAAGGAACAAGAAAGGTGTTTTAGTCTTCAGAAGAGGTTATTTGAAACAGACTCAACGTGAAAGACTTTTCTGCTCATAATTTAGGTGCTTATTTGAAAAGAAAATTAACTTTGCACCAATACATAGCACCTGATATTCTAATAGGATGCAAGTGGAATAATTTAGCAGCTGTAACAGACTGAGTACTCAATAAGTTTTTTGAAGGCTTTGAAAGGTATATGAACTAGTTCTTCACTTCAGTGAGCATGTAGGAACAGTGAAGGATTTAAAAGTTTCCTTTGACTCTTTATGAAATATCTATTAATCATCTTTTCTTCCAATCTCTTATTGTCTGCTTAAACTCTGTTTCTCATCAGTAGTAAAATGTCAGTCGACAAATTTCCAGACATCTGATTTACAAGGCAGAGTTGTATGAATGTTAAACAATATAAACAATAGTCATTATGTTTATTACATATATTTTATGACCTTGCATAACATGATTAATACTTTAATAAAATTTGAATTAATCATTGTAATCATACTCAATTTGGTATTGAAAAGAATGCATTAATGTTTGAGCATAGATTTTAAGATTTTAAATTTTTTAAAGAGTTGAAATACAATTAAATGGTTGTGAGTTTGTAGGCATAAAAGTTATAAAATTCACAAGGATTGTTTTCCTAATAGCTGTTATGTTACTCTCTTGTGCATATATAATTACTTTCTCTTAGAGGGCATTTGTCTTCTGCCTGAATATATTCATGTGTTAGGCCCAAGAACATTTCCAGTTCACAAAAATTTTAACCATAATGTTTTTTGAAGCTAGAAAAGCTGAATTTTTCTACTGTAGATACATTTACTTCAACTTCCTTTGAAGGAGAAACAGGATAAAGTATTTGTTTTAATGCAAATAGAATGTTTGTCTTTGTCAAGTAAGCCATTGAAATATGATCATTAAAATGGCATGGTTATCCAGATTTCAACTCTCTTGGTTGCAGCAACAAAATAAATGTTTTTTATATTATTAGAAAAAAACTATGTACCTAACCCATTCTGAAAGTCTGAAGAAAAACTTTAAAATTTGTGCTTTAGTCACTAAACACCACATTGGAGCTTCCACTAGAATTTAAAAATATTCTGTAGGCTGAAACTAATAGACTAATAAAGAACCTTTAAAAATAACAGTTACGTACAGCTGAAAATAATAAAATAGTCATTTAAACATCCTCATCTTAATAATATATTTTTCCTTCTAAACTGAAAGTATTAAGATAGTAGATGCTGATAAATTTGATTTTCTTTTTGAGAATCTAGAAGTTATTCAAAGAATTATAAAGTATCATTTTAAACAATGTTATAAAGTGTTTTAAAATACACTGTATCATTTCAACTGGTTATTTTTTTTTACTTTTAGAAACAAATTTAATATCGGCTTCTGCATTGGGAGTACAATTATAATGGTCTAGAGTGTTTATAGGATCTATGTGTCCAGTTTTTCCCAAAGGCCTCATTTGTATTTTTGTTAGTTTTATGAAGTAAAATATTTTCTAGTATTCTTTTAGATTGTGTAAGTACTTTTGCTTTATTGCAAAGAAAGCTGAAGGAAAGTATTCCTTTAATTCACTGAACATCCATGGAGAAAAAGGGAAAAGCTAATATGCCTAAGTGCCCAGGAGACATCCAGAAGTTTTAGCTGGCATATAAACTCTTTGTTCTAGTGGGGTTCTCTTTTATTTCTAGCCATGGGATAGGTACCTACTCATTTTCTAGAGAGAAGAAAGTTAAAAACGATGAGAAACCATCTTCCCTATGCCCCTCTTGTACTGAGTCTTGGATGGTCAGTGATCTTCAAGCCTTGAGATATATATATATATATATTGCTCTTTTAAAGTTATTTTAACCACAAATGGACAATTGGGGAAATATATAACTGAATTATCCATGACATTTGAAAGTATGGATAAAAATCATTTCAGTGAAATGTATAACATCTATAATATTCTTTCACTTTATTAAATATCTTAACTTAGTCAGGCTTGGAATCTGAATGGTCCAGTGTTTGCACATTCATGATCACAGAGTTCAGTGGTTTCAAATTGAGTCTTATGTTCCATACGTTGTCAAACGGACCACACTGAGTATTCAGAGAGGACAACAAAGCTTTTCAAACTTAGTGGCCTGGTGCATGGATTCATGCACATTGAAAGGAAATTAATTAGAAGAAATATTTTAATATTGCTATTCACCCTTTCTCTATAATAGAAGTGTCAGAGATGAAAGAAAAGTAGTAAAATGTATATGAAAATAATATGTAAATTAATAAACAATAACGACATAACAACAAAAACATGATATAAAAACAACATTGATAAAAAACAATGACTGATAAGTTGATTAATATCTAATATCTCCCTGTATACCTCTCTGTAAGAGTAAAAACACTTTCAGAGTGCTTGACTAATTTCCCTTGTGATGAAGTATTTACAACTTTAATGTACCACGCTCTTCAAACTCGAGAGAAAGCAACATATAACTGACCATGTTCAAAGATGAGTTCAGGTAAGAATATTCCTACTCTGTCTAGATTGGTGCCAGCAAGAACTTTATATATATCGTGGATCCACAAGTCAACATTTATTTTTAAATTGCACATCATATTTACTGGCCGGACGGTTGGATGGACATACAGTCGGTCACTTAGCCTTTTATGTATATGTAGATTAAACATGTAATCCAATTCTTGATAATTCCTAAAAAGTGATTGCCATAATAATTAATATAGGCAAATAGAGCCTTTCCCGCCCCTCATATAATATAGTCTATCTTGTATAGGTGGACTTTTAGTTAAAACTCAAATTCATTAAATGGAATTAGTGTCAATATGTGAGAAAATGAAATGCTAGTCACATTCAAAAAACAGGAACCAAGGAATGAAAATCAATGATACAATGTTATCTAAAACACTTAGCAAATTCATGTTATGGTTTGTCATGAGTGTTTTAGATTTTCTCAAAAAAACTTATTCAAAACAATTAGACTACATAGTATAGTTGTTATTTCAATAATATTTTCATAAGTTAGTACCATTTTAAAAGTTCATTTTTTAGATAATAAAATTATTCAAATATAAAACTTCAAAATGTGATAAAGCAAGAAATAAAATTGAGTATTGTAAGTCTAATTTTTAACAGGTTAAATTAGCCACACTACTAAGATACTGAGTTTCTTAAAAAGATAAGTCTCAAAGCATTTTTTGAATTTAGGAAACTTTAATTTTGTTAAACTTTGCAAACAAGAAATTCTATAGTCAAGATATTGTCAAAAAAAAGAATACTTTTGAATTTATAAAGTGAAATTTGGTAGTTATCAAGTGTCATGCCATGATTCTGATAGCTTAAAGAATCAGAATAAGATAGTCAGAATAAGATTACTCTATCATTAAAGGTATATATATTAGTATAAGAATCAAATTATAATTTTTAACATAAAATCTTTATATCTAACCAGTCTATAACTTTGAAAAGATTTTGTGCATATTAGAAAAGCAATATTCTTTAGGGCTTCCTTTAGGAATTTGATCCCTTATTTTGAAGCAAAACAACTAATATTACATGGGAATATCTGAGTTATATAGACTAAAATTATAAAGTCTTTAAGAAGAAATGAGGAATTGATTTTTCAAAGAAAATGGCAATAAACGAAGTTTTGAAAGGGATGAAGGTAAATTTAAATTTAAAGGCTGGGAAATTAGAATAAAAAAAGTAACAATACTCCATATTACACTTAATGAAAAAATAACAGGTTGAATTATGTCTTAGAATTTATGTAGGCAAATAAAACTAACTTATCTTTAAATTATTTAAATGATTATAACATACTTTTGTATAGATTAGAAAAAGCAAATTTACTCCTCAAAGCAC